GCATTTCGGTCGCGCCTCTTCGATCTATTGAGGAGTAAATTACTGATTTCTACCGCGGCACATCCGGAGACGGATAGACAACCCGAACGTGTCAGCCGCGTCCGGGAAGACGCCCTCCGTAACTACGCGACTTCGTACACGAGGTGGAGTGCGTTCCTAGCGCTTGCTACATTCGCACTCAGCTACGCCGAGCAATCCTCGACGGACCTGACGCTGCTCTTTGTGAGCAGCGCTCACCGCCCACGTGTTTCGACACTTCTAGCTGTGGGACATTCCACGAATGCTGGCGGCTGCACCCTTGTTGGGGAAAAATATCATTAAGCCGGCGCTGATGTCGAATCTGCGGCCATTTCTGCAGCAACGAGCCAGTGTCATGGCCTCCACCAGGACATGAACCGATGTATGAACGTGTATCAGTAACCTGACCGGTGTCAAAGGGTCTTACAGTGCATATGACTGCAGTGTTATCTTAGAGTGGAGTCAGTGGGAATGTCTTGACCCGATCTCAGTCGAAGAAAATCATCGGGCTACCTTAATGTACTGCCTCTCCGATCATTGACAACGCAGAACTTGATCGACCCTGATGGCACGACTGGCGAGCAGGCCGCAACCACGGCCAGTTATACACCTAAATATTTTTTCGATGCTTTTAGCCGACCGCTCGGCCGGGATTTGGCATGCAGCGACAATCCATCACAATACTCGTTCGTGGTACAGTGCAAAACGCAGTGGACAAGCTGAAGGAATATGTAGATAAACGCGGTCGAAAGAATATGAATGCATTTAAGACAGGAGACCGCGTGCTCCTATCGACAGAGGGAATCGCGCATCCACCGTTATCAATCTGGGAGACAACAAACTAGATCACGCTTCATTAATTTTCCGCGTAACCGAGGCTATAGACGACGCTTCTTCTCTGGACATGCCGTCGTCACTTCGACTCCACCCGATCTTTTACGCAAGCGCTATTTCCCTGCCGCCATTCCGAATACAAGTCGCCGGATGGATCACGTGTCGGCCGACCAGCCCGACGAGCTTGACGTGTCAAAGAACCATCAGCCCCAGGCGCCCGCTCTCGCGGACGAACACCCTGCTGTGCAGAGCCAAGTACACGTGTCTTCAATCCACGAAGGCGAGACAGCAGATCACAGCTCTACTGCCAAATCTTTTACGCGATCTGCTCCGACCGCCAGGAACAAGATCAGCTCCAATCCGAGCGTTCAACGCGCGAATTGAAGCAGTCTCCACCTCGCACTGGATGTACAGGGAGAACGTTGTATCGCCGTGAAGGACCACCATCGATAATTGACTTGGGTGACGCGCACCGAATTGTGGAACGTATCGAATGCCCCCGCGGCCCGTTTGCTCAGACCACTATCCGTAAGCATACTTACCGCGTGCGCTATCCATCTCGGGTATCCTCCGGAACACGGTACGTGGAAGCCCCGTGCTAATCTACTCTGCGACGACCCGGACGTGGCTCATGAGCATAAGACCAAGCTGCTTGGGATGTAGGATACCCTCCCGAGAATATGAGCGAGATCGAGAACATCCACGCGAATGACCCTTATGAGGAGGCGACAAAGACGCTGTGCCTCGCTGCGTGTGACGTTGGCGTGAGAGGTCGCAATTAGCCGTCTATCCATACTGGTGAGGGCTCGTATCTGGTGATCCATTCTGATTCTTCACCGCTGAGCGGCCGCTCAGCGAGAAAGATGTTGTCCCACTCATGTTGCGTCGGACGCGACGGCGTGCCACAGGACTTGTAATTCCCTCTCACGTGCACGAAGCGGACTCGTTTACGCGTACCTGCAATCCTTCACATGTACCTGCCCAATCGATGATCCGCGAGAATGTCCTCGCGATACGCCACCCAGTCACGGAAACTTTCTTCAGCATGTGGCATCCGCGTCGAATGAAGGCTGGCCAGAAGCGACGAAGCCCCTCAAGATCAGCTCCTTCGATCTTCCTCTTCCGTGCCGCACGAGAGCGACGAAAATTGCTTCGTGGTGTCAAGCGTATCTGATTTTTCCGCTCCTGGCAAGTTGAACAGGTCCCAGGGAGCAAGAGCGTCATCCATCCAGCGACCGCGTGCTTCTAGCGCTGATCCTCGCCACTGCTGTCTGGGCTGTCGCCGTCGCCAGGGTAGCTGCGTCTACCGTCGCCATCAGCGCCGTGCTTGTGCTGACGTCCACCAACTGTGCCGTATTGTTCTCGATCATCTTCGCTTCGTTGGCGTTTTGAGTTTTCTTCAAAGGTGTGTTTGTGTGGCGTAAGCGCGATTTTGAGAGGAGGGTGATGTAATGGGCCCAACTTCAATTTCACAAGTAGATAAATATCGCTTAATACATTACACAAGTAGGCAAAGCGATACACGGGTAGCGTGTACCAAGGTGTGATCATCTGGAAGGTAGACAGTGGGGAGCGTGACTCAGTTATTTACACTCAGATGTTGACTTACATTTAAGTGGTTTACATGAGGCCCAGAGTAGCCTGTTACCAGATAAATCAAAGTTGACTTTTTCACAACCTAAGATTTATTTTAATATCGTGAGCTTTCTCTACGCTTTAGCGTAAGCTAGTAGCGGCGGCTCTAGTACCGTTACAATGTAAGCCAAAGAAATAAACAACATTTGCATAGCTTCATCAGAGAATACCGAAATCCGTACGTGCGTTGTCGTTTTGGAATCACAAGTCCAAAAACAAACTAATGGTTTGCTTATCAGCTGGCAAGCGCTTCTAGGATTGCTGGTCAGTCGGTACTTAGCCGAAGCGGAAAAGGAGGCAAGACTTTGGATACTGGCGCTCTTAGTTAAACTAATACACTCATTTCAAAGTGCTGATACGTCGCTGACGAGAAACGCGATCGTCGATGTCGCCGACGGCTGAATATTACGGCACAAATACGTTTAGTCACACATAACAACATCAGACGGGGCAGGAACCGAATTATACACATTACCTTACTGGTAGATGGTGGCAAATATTGCAGTGCTCTTCCTGATGTAGACGACTTCGAGCGCGAGCTTTGGGTAATAAGTCATGTTGGCAGCGCATCTTTACGTCCATACACGTCAACTAAGGCCAGTAAATCCTAGACACACCACTCGACAAAGCAAACTTTGCGCTGCTTTTAGTTACGGTACTGGAGAAGGATTACTTTGCTCTGGGGTTGTATTAATATCTTCGATGAGTAGTTATTTTCTATTTTTGCGCTTCTTCCTCACGCGTTGTTGCACTTCTAAGTTGCTGACTCAGCATATTTGACTGTCATCACATTGACAACACCTGTTACGAATGGTGGAGTGTGCACAATCTTAAGAGTGGGCTCTAAATGTTTGGTACTCAGAGACTACATTATTAAATAGGACGCGAGCCTCTGTCATGTCCATCTTCTTAAGCTGAAGACGTCAGCACACACTCTAAAACTTCTTCAGATGATCAAACAAAGCAACAAGCTTTCGAGCTTCCCACTGGCTAAACGTTTTCCGTAACCACCTCCGCATTCTAGATCTACGTGTAAATGGGGTTGTATGTTTCGAGCATTTCAAAGGCAGAGGGCCATTGGGTGACATTGCTTTGATAAGGGGGAGATCTGTGTGCATCTTAAGCTCACGAAGTTGTTTTCGTGGCAAAAATTGACCAGGAGATTGCGCACGGCGGATGGTAGCTCGTCGTGTGGCTTGAATCACAGCTAAGCTGAGCCTATGACTTGCACAGCCTCCAAGCGGTATCTTGGTCGCAATGGAGTGGCTAAGCTGCAATTATCTCCCACAAATGAGTCTTGAGCAGCCGCACGTGAGCATCGAGCATCGCCTGTCTGGGCTCTTCTGTGAGAGGGATACTTGACATAGTGTAGCGCAACGTAATCACACCGCAATACGCCCAACACTCGAGCATAAGGCCGAATGCGTTTTGATCTCATTCTCCAGCTGTTGGTCAGCCGTGATCACAATGCCTTCCAGGTACTTCTTCACAGACTTTGCTGTGACCAGCCGGAGCTAAATTATGACGCGAATGGGAGCGTCTTCGACCATGTGTAGAGACGTGATCCGCATTATTTTTCAGTAAATCCAATGAAGCACAATTGCTAAAAATTCCTCAGGGATAGACCCCAACAACTCCATCGAGCCATTGAAGCTGCTCTGAAACAATTCATATAGCCATCGTGTGTTCCTGAAGATGTGTCAGAAGGCTGGAAGCAACCTGCTTACGATTGTGTCCACAAAGGCTGCAGCGGAAGAGACATTGACCAAGTGAAGCAAAAAGCGAGTAGCCATTGTTGTTTGGGAAGAAAGTGGAAATTAGTCGCCAATGTAGAGCAGCAAAAGAGATGAGACCGATGATTGAGGGCTCTTGACCATTATACATTGTCGACGCTTCTGTTGTGTGGTTGGCTTTATCCATGCCGCAGGTTTTCATTACCCATAATTGGGTTCAAGCAATTGTTTTGGAATCTGGCTTGTAATTTAATAAGAAGGACGGTTTTAGGGTACCGTATCGCACTTGTAGATTCCGACAGCAATATCCGGGTGGGGGTTGGGAAATTGACAAACCTCTAAAATGAAATAGCACCCTTTCATATTTAATAATCATGGGTTGTATCATATGTTTAATACGAAACGAGCAGTTACGGAAAAGGTAATTGCACCATTGAAATCAGGAGGGGGTGGGGACCCGAGAACCCTCCCAACACGGGAGGTGGCCAAAATGAAGCCCGACACAAGGCATTGCCAAACGTGCGTGTGCTCGTACGCACGTGGTGGTGGTGGTGGGGGGGGCATCACGGTCTAGTAAGCTGTACACTGCAGCATATGCGGATCAATAATGCCAGTTTCAACCTGACCGATTTGACTATCTAGTAGATCTAATTCTGCAAGTCGCTCTGCTAGGTTGTAGCACTTGCTGGCAAGCTCAGAATCGAAAGGACGTTCTGCTGCAACACAGGAGAAGCCATTCGCAATTGTAGTTGAGCTCGTACGTCCCCAAGCGGTTGAACTTTACCCAATCACTTTCTTGTGGTCGGGAGGTGTAAGCTTAAAAGCACGACCGTTCGCTTCGTCCAGCTGCCTCTGCAGGTCGTCTACCCATGCACGCCTGATATGCTACTTATATGGCTTGTTCCAGCTGACATCAGCCGGTTGGCAGACGCAAGTATACCCTGGCGGGACCTTCATGAGTACCATGTCCAGATCCTTCGCGCACTCGACAGCATCTTTAGTCCAATGGACTGAGAAGTCGCCCCACAAGAATAGCATAGACTTTGACATGTCAGAGCGGTCTCCAAATTGGTAGCGCAAGAATGCAAACGATATTGTGGCTGTTCACCACCCGCTGGAGTTGCCGTATATCTGCAGGCCGAAGTCGTCTTGCAGTCGCTTGATGTATTTCCAGAAACGCTCCCCAAAACCGTGGTGCTGCCGAGTGTTGATTGCAGCCGTGACAGTGGTTTTTTGATGGGGTGGTTTTGAGGACCAAGAAGAGAGGCTTCTTCCCCCCATGAGAGCTATCTAGTAGCATACACGTGAGGCGTTCCTTATCACGACAATTCGAGTGAATCCATACTGTCTTACTGCCCTTCTTCTGAATAGTAGACGTCGGGATATACTCGAAGAAGACTGACGTTTGGTCGGCGTTGTAGACCACATCAATGTCTTAAACCGCCATTTTAGCCAGCACTACGACCCGGAAGTTCTTTGCCACTGTTAAGGCATCGCTTGGGCAGGTTTGACCTTGTCGAGGTTTTGATCTAAAGCTGAGATGGTGGTGATGCAAAAAGCTGCCTTGTCATGAGTTTGTAGCCTCAAAGAAGCCACGAGGAACGCCACTCTCAGTTACCACTCGCAGGATCCGTGAACGGAGCATTATTGACGATGTCGGAGCTCCTTCCTCCCTGCAGTCGCCCACCTATCTGACGAGGTCGTGCCCACCGTCCGCGCTCAATGAGGTGCCCAGTCCAAGCTGCTGGATCCCACGACTCGATGCCCCTGTCACCGTCTCATATATAGCGACAAGCTTGCGTTTCTTCTTGACCCACATATTGATGCTCTTTCGCTTAGTGTCGAGCATAGTGCCCTCCAGGCCCGGAAAGAAGGTAGCGTATCTTGGATCCCCGTGCTTTCGTACGCGTTAACGACGGCGAGTCGAAACTCATACGTCTCCCAGGTGAGCCTGTGCTGACGCTGCTTCCTGCCGCCACCATCGCGCTTTGGCTTTCGGCCATGCGGCATTTTCAAAAATATGATCTAAGCTGGTGCACCGTGACTGGGAGCGCAAGTGCTGAATGGTTGGTTCTGTGATGTTGTCGGAAACAACATATCGATTTTGGTTGCTCTAATTGGTGCGATTTGACGCTGTCGGAAACAACATATGTACTCTGGCTGTTCTTTTTGGTGCGGTTTGATTGAATAATTCCCATGTCGAAATTTACATGTTGTCGGAATCTACGAGTGCGATACAATACTACCTGAGCGGGAGCTACCGGAACATGACGTATGTACCTGTACGCTACTGAGAGCCTAGTTGTACATATTATCACTGAAAGCAGGGCTGCAAGGCCACAATGCAGAAAAAAGGAGGTGGGGGGTACTTATGGCAATATTAGCACAACACATTTCCAAAATTTCATTATTTTTGAGATTTCACTGGCTCGATGCGGTGTGTGATTGGCTCTGGCGCACTGTATCGACATTGTTTTTTAATATGCTTGTGCCGTACGTGTGTTACCTAAACGTACGATCAACTTTGTGAATTCGGTGATTATGCTATCAACACCGCTACATGTGCGAACCGATTACTTTCGTACCTCAAGCTCAACGGCTGTGCAGAAAGTAAAAGGAGGCAAGGGTTGGTTGAGCTAATCCTGGTCAAGAAGGATGCAAACACGAAGAGGCTAAAGTAATTGACATCAACCGTATAAAGTGACATCTCCAAATGCCAGCCAAACCATCACATCGACAAGGACTTATTAGTGCTTAGCTAGGGCAAACATGAACTTTCACGAAATGATATGTAGCATTATCAAAACTAGTTGGAGAGAGAAGTGCCTTGCGAAGACACTTCAGCATGAACTGATGCCTTAGAAAACTATCTAGCGCTTGGGTTGGCTTAGGCGACATTTGGATGCCGGTAAGGTAGCACTCGAAAACCATTAGAACAACAGGACCACAGCTTGAAATTTCTGGTTCGCTAGCGGTTGTGTCCCTCGTGGTCTGCATGAAAGTGCAGATCTCGCCAAACAGTTTTTGCAGCAGAGATTTTCATTCGGGGTAGTATTTTGACTTGGTGGGTTGAAGCGGTCTAACAGGACAGCTCCTCGGCTCTCGCTACGAAAGTCCAGTATGACGTCGTACCAATGGTGGCTGGTAACGTGAAGGGGTAACAAGATGACCTTGTTGGCATCTCGAAAAAACTCATCAGCGTGTTGAACTCTTGATTGTGCATCTCGCTCTTGAAACCGACTGCAAATGGGTTGACTACACCAAAGTTTGGATGCTCACGCTGGAGTGGCGACGCACTGTATCTAAGGAAGTTGTCGTCGTTCCATTCGACATGCGGCAAGGTCAGAAATGCGTGATGCGGAAAACTGTCATACGAGGTTTGACGTACCCCCACGATGTAGATAGAACAAGTACAATCGCTCTTTATCACTCTTTGAGGTCGCTCCTGATCTTGTCTGATAGTGATTCGGTCATGGTAATGCGTTTGGTACGCGTATTTACGACCCAGAAGATTGCGTTTTCCGTAGTATCCAAATATTCCATGCAGGTGACCCATTTTACCAGAATTTTGGCTGGAATTGTGATACTTGAATTAATCAAATGCTTTCGTTTCCTACGAGGCTGTGATGAGCGTATTGCCCTAAAACACAGTTCAACTGGCGTAGTCAGTATAGCTACATGAAAGTACCTATAGGACGCCCGGTGTAATTACAGATACACGTATACAGACAGGTGTAGCCATGTTTACTATATAGTAACTGCTGTTACATTGGCTTGCATGGCCAGAAACATCGTTCACCACGAACGAGAAGAACTTGTAGCTTAAATCATCCATATTGTGTCGCATCGATGAGCACAATCTCCGAGAAAGCTTTGAGCTGGCGTCTCATTTGTCGTGTCTGAAGCGTGATCGTTTGAGCCGTCCGCTCATCGTCAGCGTGCACGGACGTGCGATTACCACGCCCTTCGCAGATTACACGCAGGACTGCTTCAAGACGCTCCTCGGTGGTAGCACTTCCTCGACGCTCCTCCTCATCATGTTGTGTTCATATCTGAGCGTGACACCCAAGGACATAAATATTGGTCAGCTAGAGTTCTTGAATGCAATTACCAGCTCGACTTTTCCATCTTCTTTTGAAGAAACTGCATAATCAGCTTGGGCTTCGATCCCGCGAACTGGAGTTTGTCGACAAAGCAATCAGAGCTGAGTCTTCTACGCGGCAATTGAATGGTTGGTTATCATAGATAGCCTTGGACAAATTGTTGCAGTCCGCTGCGTCATTCGAAGCAACTGCAACCTTCACGTTTGCCGGACACCCCGTTGACTTACCGGCTTCCGCTGTCGGTGCTACGGATCTTCCGCTACCAGCCACGAATGCACATCATCTTGAGCCAAAACGTACCGAAGCTAGCGGGAATCACAGATCTCTCGCTGTCTTGAGCGGCGTCGACCGCCTCCGCACCTCCCACACTGACGCTGTTAGATGTGGCGGTGAGGCTTGGTTCCGATCCGGCGCGCGCTTGGATCTCGCGGTTTCTCATTTCGACGGGCGTCGATGTGCACAAACAAAATATCTAATGGATCGCTTCCTGGAACGCAGGCTAGTCGTCGTGCCATTCAACGGGGAGAAGAAGGCACCCCCACGTGGCGCCCGGCGGGGCGTGGCTCTCAGGCCCACTATCCCTCATACCTTTATCCAACGTAACAAAAGATCAGGATGGAGATAGCTACAATGAGCGCAGGCGCCTTTACCGGTCGTGGAAAGAGGCAAAAACACCCTACTATTGGCAGTTTTGGAACATTAGAGCATCTGTACCGGTAGCGCAATGGATTGTTTAGTGGACATCCATTGCACTATTTGCATTTTGCCGGCTTTACCGGCGTAGTGGTAAAGCCGGCAAAATGCAAATAGTACAATGAATGTAAGTAACTCTAAAGTAACGTGATTGCGTATGCTTTTTCCACTATCACTATTCTTTAGTGAGAACGACCCCGTTTTCCACTAGCTAGTACACAACCCCCTTCCCTCTGGTACCAGCCCCAGCAGCACCAGTCATGCCGAAAGCAAAAGGGTGAGCGAGAAGAAGAAATTCACCTATGCCAGGAGCAGGTGAACGTCACAGAGGACCAAGCCGTTGACACAGACCAGTCGATGGCCACCTTTTGGGAGCGCATTTATGCTACCTTCGTGGAGCTCGAAGGGGGCACAGCTTCGCGCAGCACCAACGCACTTCAGACCCACTGGTCAAGCTTGATTCGACCTGCCGTCACTTTATGTGCCTCACTCCATGCTGCTCTACGTATCATGGGTACTTGAATAGATAAAGAGCTGACCTAACGTAAACTGTCATTTCAGGTACTGGCGGAACAGGTAATGGTTGGAACGAAGACGACGTTGCACACGAGGCTGCTCTTCGTTTTACAGCAAGAAGGGATCAGTCTAATGAGAACAGCCTACGTGAGTACAATACTGACGACAAGAAGATGCGTAAGCCAAGACTTAAGAGGAAGGAGTTTCGGCTAGAACATTGATTCTCTGTACTGCGGCAAAGCACCCGCTTCACGCGGGGCATAGCTCAGCACCCTAAGCGTCATTTACCGCATGAAGAGCGTGCTGAACGGTGTGATATTAATAAAAAGTAGTCATAAAGTAACACAACACTCCTTTAAAATGTCCTACGAGCAAGCCGTCGACCAGATGCCCTCTATTGACACTCACATTTTAGCTGTGTATTCACTCGTACGACAAGGTGTTGTCGAGTCTTACCATGGCAATACTCAACTATTTATCTCGGCCGCCACGATGTCGCATACTTCTACACGTTGGACTTAGAAGTCATGCAGATTAGTGGTATATAGCGTTGGATAGATAGCGAGTATTAATAGAATGAAATATAGTGAAATTGCCACGACGCTTTAATGGGCCTTTGCACCAGCCTGATGATTTGCAACTGCATGAGGTGGACAGTTGCTAGCGGAAACGAACTATGCTAAACGCATCAGTCTTAGTTCGCGCGCGCGTGGCGGGGGGGGGGGTGACGGGGTCACACAGCACCTTGCGCTAGAGGAAGTTAGCTTCCGAGAGCATACAAACTCTCAGTGAACGGCAGTTCACAGGTCCCCTCTTTATTCTAAAGAGAGCGAAGTGACCTAATTAAGGTAGAATGTAAACTGAGTAAATTTATAGGTAGATAAAGCTTGGGTTTAATACAAACTATAAGTCACCTATAGAAATGCAATGTCATCAACCAATGGTTGGCTTTGGACGACCTTGGTACTTTGTACCAAATATCCCGAAGTATGACGTGTTACACTTCATGTAACCAGGGTACACTTAGGGCTACGTACCCCGTTACATCCTCCCCCACTTAGGTTCGGTTTACCGACCAATCAGAATGAAGAGGTGTTCGTCACAAACTTTCATTCTCAAAGTCGAAAACCATCGACTTGGCCGCGCGAGCGCGGCGGAGGCTCACTTCACAGTTAGAGCCTCGAGCAGCTGTGCGCTCTTCTACTAGGTCTCCACTTTGACCGTTTACCATGCCTCGTGGCACTGCAAAGAGCTGTGCGAATACACGCTCCAAGGCTGTTGCCGGGAAGGCGCAAGCCAAGAGCACTAAGCCTCACGACAAAGGCTCGGCATTTAAGAAGGCTACTCAGGGGGCCTCCGAGGCGATCGGTTTCTCGGGTGACGCGGCTGGGGCAAGCGAACAAGCAAGCGCCGCAGCCCGTCGCCCTCGGCCTCTCCAAACAATCGTCCGAGCCCTAGGTTCGTAGAACGTGAGTTCAACTCTGGCAGTGAGGACGAAGCCGAGTCCGGGAGCACGCACGATGCACCTGCGGGCTCT